ACATCGTGTTTGTTGTTATTTCCTTTTTTATCTTTATATCACCTGTGTATATAACTTTCACCTTTCACATATATAAGCTCATTCACCCTTTCTTCACTACAGTCAACTGTTTCATCCACCCTTTCTTCGCTATGGTCAACTGTTACATCCACTCTTTCTTCCTCGCTATAATCAACTGTTTCATCCACTCTTTCACTCGCTCTTTCTGCTGTATCATCATCAGCTCTTGCATTATTAAAGTAAGTTGAATCCGAACTAGGATCAGTCAAATCCGACCTTGCTCCAACTGAATCGGAAGCTCTTTCCTCATCAGTTCTTGCAGCGATGGAGTCAGTCAAATCCGACCTAGTAGAGTCAGCAAAATTCAACCTTGTTCCAATCAAATCTCCTGAACTTGAAGCCATTTCCTCATTATAATTATCAGAATAATTTGCAACAACCCTATGAATTTCCGCATTATATGTCCACCAAATCGATAATACGGCCTTGTAGGTTCTCTATATATGAAAAAGGAAAATACGACAAAAACAAAAATTAGAAATAGGGCTAAAATTATATTAAAATATATAATAATTATTGGTTTATTTTTGTAAATTAGCCTTATAGTAATAATTTATAGTTATTGTATGGGTATGTAGTGAATAACCCAGTTACACACGGGTTCATATTCCGTGCCGAAGGCACGGGATTTAAATATGAACCCGTGTATGTAACTGGGTTATTCATACCCATACAATAACTATCTTATTGCACGGTGTCTGACGTAACAATCCCGTGCCAATAAGTAAATGAAAAAAGCACGGGTTGTCACATAAGACCCGTGCAATAATTTTCGTTATCATTATAATTTCTTGTCCACACCATAGTAGTTTTTGTCATTATAATTACTTGGCCACCACGATAATGGGTTTTCATTATTATAATTACTTGGCCATCCCGGTAATAGATTTTCATTATAATAACGTGATCACTACAATAATAGATATTATAATTACTCATATTTTCATCTAATTTAATTACTTGGCCACTACGATGAGTTTTCATTATCATAATTACTTGGGCACTACGGTTATGGGTTTTCATTATCATAAACTACTTAATCACTATAATAATAGATTTTTCGTTATTATAAATACTTAGCCATTACAGTAATGAGCGTTCATTATTATAATTACTTGGCCATCAGTAATGGGTTTTCATTTTATTATAATTACTTGGCCACTACAGGAATGCTTTAATGAGTGTAGTTGATCACTAAATGTTATTTGCAAATTTCTCTACTTTATTCAACAATAAAAACGTAATTTAAAAAAATTTTTTAAAAAAACCCTTACATTATCCCAGAGTACTTTGGCTAATTTAGCTTTTCTTCATTGCCTGGGTGACCATCAATACATCTTCTAAGTGTATCGATATAGTCTTGATACTCAGCTCGTTTTTCAAATGAAAAGGTGTTTTTGCAAATCTTGCTGTAAAAATAATTAATTGGGTTTGGTAAGGCAGTGGTAAATCTGGTAAATATTCTTCGTTTGATTGAGTCATATTGAAACAACAATAGAATCAGGTAAAAGTAAACAGTAAAGATGTTGAGTAAGTAGAGTAAATGATCTTATATATGTGAAAGGTGAAAGTTATATACACAGGTGATATAAAGATAAAAAAGGAAATAACAACAAACACGATGT